TCATTCTCAAAACATTTGCTTTCTACTTGAGCCCTTGGTATCAGCGCATCACTTTTCCCCCTCCCTCCCCGCCCCTCCCTCCTTCATGACACCTTGAAAATTTATAAATTATTATTATTATTATTACACTGATGACAGTGTAAGACATGACAAAATAAATGTATATTTTTAGAATGTGTCTTCTGTCATTTGACTTCCATTCAACTATATAACACTTTCAAATCTATTGCCCAGTTTAATGCAATAGCCTCATAACTGAGTTCTTTAATCCTAGAATTAACCTCACATATATCTCTAACATTGCTGTAAGAATGATCTATTGAAAATACAAATTTGTATATGGACACTGCCCCAAACAGAATCTCCAGTAATTTTTATTAGCAAAAAGTTAAAATATAAGCTCTCAATTATGGGTTTCAAAACCAGGAATAGTGAAGTTCTTGAAAATCCATTTGGCCTTAGTTTACTACAACTCTTGATATATTAGATGTTAGTTCTATGCCCTCACATAATTTCTACAAAACACAGCACATTGACAAAGTATGCAATATATAACCGGAGGTAAAGTTTCTTTAGCTTAAGTTCCTAGCATTTGGCATACTGTGATTGTACCTGGTGATTTCTTTCAATTCATTCAGATTTGGCTATAGAAATAATCATATATTTACTCTATTACCTAAAGTATTAAAGAATTATAATCCAGAGAACTTTTTTAATAATCATTACTCACCATGTTTATGGGATCAACTGGCCCAATACTGTTTACATAAACATCAGTTTCAATTACTGTAGGCCTCACTGAAAGATACCAAATAAAGAACAGATAATCAAAATAGTTTTAAAGGCACTTTAGTTTTCAACTCTTACTAACTAGTAACATGATGCTGTTCCAGTCAAAATTATTTCTCAACATGACATTCAAAACTTGGCTCATGACAGAACGTAAACAACTTTGTGTTTAAAAACTCTATTAAGGATATTTAACACATCATCTTTTGGGTCAATCTCAAATTAAAAATATCTGTTATACCCTGAAATTAAGAAAGTTAATTCGATAAGAATTGCTACATGAATTACTTTGCAAAATCAGTTTGGAATTTTCAGCCCAATAAAATGTACACTTAACAAAATAAACGTGCATGAGTGACCTGCCTTCCTTTTGAAGAGAGGGGTGGAAATCTGATCTGTGATTTTTGTTGATTCAATGTTGTTTATATCACCATAATGACTGATTTTATCATACCAATGTGTATGGAGGAATGCAGAATTATAGCTATATATTAATAAGTAAATATTACAACTCCCTGTGAGTCAATTCCAGCTCACATTGGAACCTGAAGTATAGTTATAAATATTAAAAAAGATAAAGTAGATATTGTATATAAAGCTCTACTATCAGGTATAGGTGGTATGAGGCACTTAATGAATATTTATATCTTCATCCTCCCTTGTTAATAGTATTTTTAACAATATTTTTAAATCATTTAATTGGAGACTCTTACAGCTCTTAAAACATTGCATACATCAATTGTATCAAGCATATTTGTACATAGGTTGCCATTGTCATTTCCAAACAATTTTCTACTTGAGCCCTTGGTATGAGCTCTTTCCCCTTCCTCATCCCACTCTCCCGCCCTCATGAATCCTTGATCAATTGCATATTGCTGTTATTATTTTGTATCTTATGCTGTCTGTTGTCTCCCTTCCGGGGGTGGTGGGGTGGTGGGGGGGGCATGCTATATATCCAACCTTTCTCCCCCTTCCCCCTCCCCAACTATCACCTCTCATGACATAGCTACTCCCACTACTGTTCCTGAGGGGTTTATCTGTCCTGAATTCCATGTGTTGAGAGCTCTTATCTGTACCAATGTATGTTCTCCAGTCCAGCCAGATTTGTAAGTTAGAATTGGGTCATGGGAGTGGGCGGGGGTGGTAGGCAGAGGAAGCATTCAGGAACTAGAGGGATGATAGGCAATTCCTTGGTGCTACTTGGTTGAATCATCCTTTCCTTATAACCCTTCTGTGGGGGGATATCCAATTGTCTACAGATGGGCTTTGGGTCTCCACTCCAATCCCCCTCTTTTACATCAATAAAGTTGTTTGTTTTGGATCTTTTAATGCCTGATACCTAATCCTGTCAGCACCTCATGATCACACAGGCTGGTGTGCTTCTTTCATGTGGGCTTATTTGCCTCCTGCTAGATGGCTGCTTGTTTGATTTAGAGCTTTTAAGACCCCAGACACTATATCTTTTGAAAACTGGGCACCATCTGCTTTTTTCACCACATTTGCTTATGCACCCATTTTGTCTTCAGTGATCAAGTCAGGAAGGTCAGTGTCAGAGTACCAGGTTATCACAACAAAGTGTTCTTGTGTTAAGGGAGGCCTTGAGTAGAGGCCCAAAGTACGTCTGCTATCTTAATATTAACATGTAAATATATATACACATTGACCTCTATCCCTTTCATTATAAATTAATATATTCACATATATACATGCCTATAGCTATACCTCTATAAATAGCTCTTGCCTCCGATTTCTTTCCTCTATTTCCTCTTACCTTCCCCTTGTTTATAGTTGGCTCCAGTATAAAGGACCTTTTAACCTAATTCTCATACAAAGCATCTTGTATGGAAGCCCCTCAGGGAATACCTCCCATATTGTGTTTTGTATCCAATATTCATGCTTTTTCAGTTTATAATTAAATGCAAATCGTTTCATTATTTTACCCAAGTGTGTAGGGCAGAAAATGAGTCTATCTTTTCCCATAATGATTTATAGCCTTGAAAATGCTACAGAGAGTCTTTATGAGTTAGGGTGCACTACGACAGCAGGTAACCAGACCTGGCTGCATTTGGGGATAAGTGTTGGGCTAGTAACTACAAGATCAATGGTTAAAACCACCAGTCATTTTGTGAGGAAAATGAGGCTATCTGTTCCCATAAAGGTTTATAGACTTGGAAATGCGATAAAGACGGACTCTACTATTAGTTGGAATCAACACAATGGTAGTATTTTCATTTTGTTTTGAGTTTATATCCAAAAGTAAATACTTATCAAATGAAATCATTAACACATATACACAATAGGGCCATATTGACTGTGATGCAAACTGTCAATCTTTGTTGGGATTATTGGATTCCTATAATAGACTGGACATAATAGTAATTTGTTTTTTATTTTTACTTTTCTTCATAACAACACAGAATAAAAATATAAAAGACTGATTCGGCAACCACTGTTGCTGAGTAAATATCAGCTCCTAGTTCTACAGGGGAGAAACACCTCATAGGATTTTTGAGGCTGTAAATCTTTACAGGAGCAGACTGCAGTGTCTTTCCCTGGAAGAGCTGCTGAAGGATTTGAACACCCTATCTTCTGGTTAGCAGTCAATATCTGCTCCATCAGGGATATTTTAGACCAATGCAAACAGGGAAAGTAATATAATCTGCTATCAAATAATTATATCCACAAATAAAAGAGGACATAAAATTTATAGAAAGCTTTTTTATTTTACATAGGTTGAAGCTTTTTGAGGTGAGTTGTTTTAAATATTTGCCATTTATTTCTGACTAGCTAAGTATAGTAGCCAATAAATGTCATATACTGAAGTTAATTTTAGTTATATGGATTTTGTGAATGGATTTTATGGAAGTCAATGAATAACAATAAAATTGGTTTATTAGTTCCAGTTGTAAATAATATATATTCCCAGCTATTAGCAATTAAGCAAAACATTACTAAAATCTTATGTAATTAGATTTTTAAAATTCAGCTCACATATCAACAAGCATTGAGCACATAAGTTTTATAATTTTATATTCAGGATTGTACAGGGTTGTCAACACAGAAATAACTGATTTCCAATTGATTCCCAGGATGTAAAAAATTTTATAAATGAGGGAACTAACTTCTTTTCGGCTATCAAAAAGTATAGCGTCTGGGGTCTTAAAGGCTTGAAGGTAATCAAGCGACCATCAAGCTCAGAAGCAACAAAGCCCACACGGAAGAAGCACGCACACCAGCCTATGTGATCACGAGGTGTTGAAGGGATCAGGTATAAGGCATCATCAGAGCAAAAAATCTTACCATAGTAAATGATGGGGGGAGTGCAGAGTGGAGACCCAAGGCCCATTTGTAGACCACTGGAGATCCCC